CTTCCAACCCCTGCCATTCTGGGATTCTGTGAGCAGCAGCAGCCTGCCTGCCATGTCCGTGTTCAGCAGCAGCGCGGGGCTCAGCCCAGAGAGTTTCATGCTGAGCGCCAGCAGCGCCGTCCCGCACAGGAGCTCCTGGAGCTGGGAGCCTTTTTGGCGTGCTCCACTGTTGGGTAACTCCCAAAGTAAAGCCAGGGGTTGTTTGCAGCCCTCGGGAGCTTTCAGCTGAGACCTGCTCCTGGTGTTAGGTGATCCCTCGGCTGCCCCAGGAACCCTGGGGAACCCCATAAAGCCGTGGCAAAGGCTTCTTTGCGGGGTGGAGATGGTAGCCCCTGCAGTCAGCCTTGTGCCTGAGCCAGGGCGCCTGCCTTTACACAAACATGCTCTCGTCACCGCTCCAATTCGCAGGAGGAAAACCAACCTGTGCTCACACGCAGCGCTTGCTGGCCCCGGGACCAGACGAACTCGTCGAGGTGCGGCGCACCGGCTTGCCCCTGGCTGCGGGGCTGTGCGTCTTGGCCGCCCTAGCTGCTAACGAACGCGTAGAAATAACCTGTGTGGCAAATCCAGGCTCCCGTGGGTCAGCGGAGCTGGGTCTCTCCAGTTGGGTATATCAGCCCTGGCCCAGGAAGCACAAAGCAGCCGGTGTCTCTGGCGCGGCTGCCTGCCAGGATCCCTTGTAGCCAGGGTGCCTCTCGGGAAGTCTCAGCCTGCCAGGGAGAGTCCTGGTGCATCTGCTACCCCTTGAGATGCTGCCCGGCACAGCAGCACGTCGGCCATCTGCTTTCCGAGGGGGCTAAAACAAACACTGTCTTGTACGCGTGGAAGATCCTAACTCGGGGATCTGTCTCGTAGCTCTGCAGCACTTCAGTGAGAGCATCCAGGAGTACCTGGCAAACTTGGACAAGGCCCCGGACCCCACGGTCAGGAAGGACACCTTCTCAAATGAGATCTTCAGTGCCTACGAAGTGCTCTTCAACAGCTGGCTGCAGCACCGGGAAGCCAAGGTGGGGGGACGGGGGGCATGGGGGGACCTGCCTGGGTGCGGAGGGGGGGGCCCTTAGTCTGATGTCAGCCTCACGGTGTCTCGGTTGTGCCCCTTTGTAAGGATGTGGCCCCCAGCAGAGCAGGGCCCTGGCTCTGAGTTAGGGCTGGATGCTTTTCTCCCCATGCCCTGCAGCTCTGTCCTCGTGCCCCACACGTGCAGAACGGGTCGCTTGCTCCCTGTCGCTGGAAAGCAGAGCCCGGGGTGCTTCTGCAGCCCTTTGGGGAACAGCCTGGGCATATGCCACAGCTGGGAGGTGGCCGGTCAGGTTTTGTCCTCTGCGGGCATGGGTGACACGTTTAGGGCATCCCCCTTCTCTGCTGAGCACCCCTTGCCCTTCGACTGGCGAAGCCACACGAAACGCTGTCCCTGCCTCTGCTCGGAGGCTCCTAGAGGCGTCAGGAAGAGCAGCTCCGCAGCGGTGGGGTGATGCCGTGGCAGGGCTGCCCGCCCGGCTCTGGGCCACACTGTCGAGGCACAATCTCTCCCTGCAGCTGAGGCTGGCCGTGGTGGAGGCGATGGGACCTATGAGTTACCTGATGCCCAGCGAAAAGCTGGAGGAGCAGCTCCCTAAACTGATTCCAGGCATCCTCGCCCTCTACAAGAAGCACGCGGAGGCCTTCTACATATCCAAGGTAAGTGGCGCTGAGTGCTGGTGTCACCGGCCAAGGACCCGTCCCCAGCCCTGCTGACTGGGAGCCTGCTGGGGTGAAGGGTGGGTAGCGTAACTCTGCCTGCCGGCCGCGGGTCGTGCCGTGGTTCGGCAGCGCCGACAGCCGTCCGCGAATGCAGGAGGGACGCCGGGCAGCCGCTCTGCCCGTCCCAGAGAGCAGCGTGCGGTCGCGTGGGAAAGCGGCAGCAGCAAAGCGGTCTTGGTCCTTACCTTACCCGTGGTGTCACACAGCTCACACCATGCCTCCCCCCAGCCCGACTGGGCTGCAACTGCCTTTTCCACGCAAGATTCCCTCTCCCTGCATCGTGACCCCTCTTGCTGCTGAGCCCAAGCCTCAGAGGACTGTGCCCAGGGAGCTGGGAGGATGGAGTGGGCTGCAGCCCATCTCTGCTGCCATCTCCGGGCGCTCTGTCGTGGGGCTGGTTCTCGCTGTGCACCCAGCCGTGGCTCGCAGTGGCCAGCACACCTTCTTCGTGGCCTCCTGCCACGGCATCGGGGGAAGAGGCAGCTCTCGGGAGCGCCCAAGCTGTGTTCCCCCGTGGAAGACAGATTATGCCACTCACTGCCGCCGTGGTGGGTTTGGTGGTGGGTTTGTGGTCACTGCTCTTGCCTGTGGTCCCTCCCCGTGGGCTGGCTTAGCACCGGGGGTCACAATCCTCTGCCCTCCTCTGGAGCCCAAGTATTTTCCTGACATTAACTGCAACCCGGTCTCTTTTTGAGCAGAGCCTCTGCCAGATCCTGGAAGCTTCCGTCAACATCGGCAGCCGCAGCCTTGACGTGCAGCTGGACTCTCTCCTGGGCACCCTGCACCCCCAGGTAAGGGCTGGGCAGAGAGTAGCCACCCTCAGGAGGGTGCTGGGGGGGGAAGGTGGGCTCCTTGTGAGCTGTAACGCTGCAGCCTGGCCGTAAGCTTGGTCTGCAGGGCTCCGGGCTGCCCCTGGGTCAGCCTGAGATTGGGGCGTGCAGCCTGCTCGGCTTTTCTGTCCCCTGGTCGCGCCCCTCTGAGGCTCTTGGCTTCTCTGCTGCCCGCCGCGGTGTTGCCAGCTCTCGGGCTCTGGTATACGAAATAGCGAAGGAGTCACATGCGCGGTCAAGTTGTCTGAAGTGTGAGCACAGTTATGCAGCAGATCGAAACCAAATACCTCCAGATCAATGGGCCCTTTAAAAAGTTTGCTCTTTGAGAATGAGCGAGGGCATTGCCTCGCCACGGAGCCGTGACCGCAGCGGCGGGCGGGAGCCCTTCTCAGGCTGCCGAGCCCGGCCTCCTCCTCAGCCGTTCTTCAGCCGCAGGGGAGCGAGGTCTGTTGTGTTACTGAACTCTTAGAACCACACTCCCGGGGCTGAGAACAGGTCTGAACAATTTTTTTTTAATACTTAACCGCCTCCGAGTCTTGGAAGACTGCTGGGGAGCCCGTCCTTTAAAATACACGCTTTGCCAGCGCAGTGCTGTTCATGGGAACTGCTTCTGGTGATGGCCTTGGGCAGGCGAAAGCTGCTTGTGGCTGCAGAGGGGCAGCTCCGGGGCTGCAGGACACGGCCAGGCTCGAGGGGCAGCTCTGGGGCTGCGGGACATGGCCAGGCTCGAGGGGCA